TTTTTGGGGTGAAAAAAGGGGGATTTTGGGGAGAGGGAAATGAAGTTTTTTGGGGTGAAAAAGTTGGTTTTGGGGCGAAAAAAGGGGGATTTGGGGGCAGGGAGAGAGAAATGAAGTTTTTTGGGGTGAAAAAGTTGGTTTTGGGGTGAAAAAAGGGGATTTGGGAGCAGAGAAAGGGAAGTTTTTTTGGGGTAAAAAAAGTTGGTTTTGGGGTTAAAAAAGGGGGATTTGGGGCAGGGAAACGAAGTTTTTTGGGGGTGGGGAAAAGTTGGTTTTGGGGTGAAAAAAGGGGGATTTGGGGAGAGAGAAATTAAGTTTTTTGGGGTAAAAAAGTTGGTTTGGGGGTTAAAAAAGGGGGATTTGGGGAAAGGGAAATGAAATTTTTGGAGTAGAAAAGTTTTTGGGGTGAAAAAAGGGGGATTTGGGGGCAGGGAGAGAATTGAAGTTTTTGGGGTGAAATAGTTGGATTTGGGGTGAAAAAAGGGAGATTTGGGGCAGGGAAAAAATCTGTGTTTTTGGGGAATTTGGGGGTTTGACCCCTCCAAAAAAACCCTCCAGTTTTACCTAAAAAACTCAATCCTAAAAAAATTAATCCTAAAAAAATCAACCATTGCAGGTTTTAAAAATGGATATTTTAGAGAGAAACGAAGGATTTGGGGGGTTTTGCCCCAGAACTGAGGGAGGGGAGGGTCAGAAATGGGCGTTAAACCCTAAAAATGAACTTTTTGGGGGAAACTGGGGGGGTTTGACCCCGAATTTGAGGGTTGGGAACTGTTTGAACACCCAAAGTTGGGAAAAATGGGAAATTTGGGGCCAAAAGTTGAGGGGGGAGGGGGAGAAGTTTGACTTTAAATTAATCTAATTTAATCTAATTTAATAATTAATAACTAATTTAATAATCCCCCCCTAAAATCCACATTTTTGGGGGAAAAAAAAGGGAGAAATTTCGGGGGTTTTGCCCCAAAAATGGAGGGTTGGGGGAGGAGCCTGAAAGGAGAGGCCCCGCCCCCTTAATTAACCCCTCCCCTTAAATTAACCCCGTCCCCAGGGGGGTTAATCACACCCCTGATTAATTAATTACCACCCCTCATTAATTAATCGCAGCTTTAAGGGGTCCCCAAATATTAATTACACCTTAATTACCCTTTCGATTAATTAACCCCGCCCACAAGATATAAACCACGCCCAGAAACCTCATTGATGCTCATTAACGGCTTAATTAGCAAACCACGCCTCCCCCACGGTTTGGCCACGCCCCCAACGGGGTTAATTAGGAGCCTAAAGGGGTTAATTAAACCCTTTAATGGTTAATTAATCACTTAATAAATTAACCATGCCCCCAAGGGGTTAATTAAACCTTTTAATGGTTAATTAATCAGTTAATAAATCAACCACGCCCCCAAGGGGTTAATTAAACCCTCAGATTAAGCCACGCCCCTCCAGGCCAAACCACGCCCCCCACGGGGCTAATCAAGCGTTTAAGGGGTTAATTAACCCTTTAATTAGCTAACCACGCCCCCCCAAAGACTAAGTAACGCCACGGATAAGCCACGCCCCCTCAATGATTAACCACGCCCCCCGCGGGTTAATCGCACCCACGAGGGGGTTAATTACCCTCCGCTAATTAACCCTGAAAGCTTTAAACTCCGCCCCCTCACTGATTAACCACGCCCCCCCGGGCTCATCGCACCCACGAGGGGGTTAATTACCCCCCGCTAATTAACCCTTGAGGCCTTAAACTCCGCCCCGTCCCCTCACGGGGCCCTGAGGGGGCCTTTACCCCCCCCCCCCCCCCCCCCCCCCCCCCCCCGCGCCCCCCCTCCCCGCCCCCTTTCCCCCCCCCCATAAAACCCCCCCATAAAACCCCCTCACCGCTCCGGGGCCCCGCTCGGCGCCTCCCGCCGCCGCCGCCGCCGCTTCCTCCGGGGGCTGAGCACAAAATGGCGCCCGCGCCGCCCTCAGCGCCGCCGCCGCCGCCGCGCAGGGGCCCCGCCCCTTCGCCGCGCTCCCATTGGCCGAGCCGCCCGTCCGTCAACCCCTCGGCCAATCGGAGTGAGCGGGCGGGTCACGGGGGGGCGGGCGTCAATCACGCCGCGGGACGGCGCCCATTGGCTGTTTGCTTGGCCACGCCCGCCCCTCGCGCGGGGAACCAATAGGAAAGGTCTATCGCCCTGAAGGGCCCGCCCAACGCCTGAGGGCGCGCAACGCCATTGGCTGGGACGAGGGGGAGAGGGCGGGGCTTAGGACGCGACGCCATTGGTCGGGGGAGGAGGAGGGCACCGATTGGCGGGCGGAGCTGTCAGTCACGGCGGGAGGGGGCGGGGCCAAGCTCCCAGTCCGCGCTGGGGTTTTTGGGGCCTTTTCTTACTGGTTTTGGGGCCTTTTTTTTTTACTGGTTTTGGGCCTTTTTTTACCGTTTTTGGGGCGTTTCGGACCGGATTCGTCTCTGTTTGAAACAGCTCCGCCCGATTTCTGCTGGTTTTGACCCTCCCGGATCGGTTTTGTCCCTTTAAACTGGTTTTACCCCAATTTTTAAACTTTTTAACCCTTTTAAACTGGTTTTAACCCTTTTCAACTGGTTTTAACCCTCTTTAACTGGTTCAGCCCCAACTCAAACTGGTTTTGTCCCTTTTAAACCCGTTTTGTCCCTTTTAAACCCGTTTTATCCCTTCAAACTGGTTTAACCCCAACTCCAACTGGTTTTAACCCTTTTAAACTGGTTTTGTCCCTTTAAACTGGTTTTAACCCTCTTGAACTGGTTTATCCCCATTTTAAACCAGTTTAACCCCAATTTAAACCGGTTTTGCCCCAACCCAAACCAGTTTAACCCCGTTTTTAACCAATTCCCCCTTTTTTTAAACCGTTTTTCCCCCCATTTTAATCCCCTCCTTCCCCCCCCACTTTTTTTACCCGTTTTTGCCCCTTTTCCCCCCGTTTTTGAGGTTTTTTTTTTTTAAGGGGGGGGAAGGGGTTGAAAAAGTCCCGTTTTAGTTAAAAAACCTTAAAAAAACCACGTTTTTATTGAACTTTTTGTTGGAAAAGAGCCGCGGAAGGGGGAGGGGGGAGGGGGGGACCCCAAAACCGGGGGGAATCCCCCCAAAAACTGAGGGGGGGGAGGGGGAAACCCCCCCGAACCCCCCCATAAATAGGGAATAAAAAAAAAGGGGAAAAAGGGGGGAATTTTGGGGTCCCCGGGGGGGGGTTTGGGGTCGTTCGAGGGGGTTTTGGGTCATTAAAGGGGGTTTTGGGTCATTAAAGGGGGATTTGGGGTCCCCCAGACCCTTTTTTTGGGGCCTTAAAAGTGATTTTTGGGGCCCTAAATGTGATTTTTGGGGCCTTAAAAGGGGGTTTTGGGTCCCCCCTGATGGAATTTGGGGTCGTTAAAGGGGGATTTTGGGGCCCCTTCAGACCCTTTTTTGACAAAAAATACCTCAAATTCTGAGGGGGAAAAACCCAAATTGTGACAAAAATTCTGAGGGAAAAACTCCCAATTCTGACAAAAATACCTCAAATTCTGAGGGGAAAAACCCGAATTCTGAGTGAAAAACTCCAAATTCTGACAAAAGTACCTCAAAATCTGAAGGCAAAACCCCAAAAATCTAAATTCTGACAAAACCACCTCAAATTCTGAGGCAAAAACCCGAATTCTGAGGGGAAAAACTCCAAAATCTGACAAAAATCCCCAAAATTCTGAGGTAAAAACCCAAATTCTGATGAAAATCCCCCAAATTCTGAGGGGAAAAACTCCAAATTCTGACAAAAATCCCCCAAATTCTGACGAAAATCCCTCAAAATTCTGAGAATTTGAAGAAAAACCCCCAGAATTTCGACCAAAAATCTTCAAATTTTGCCCCAAAACCCCCCCAAAAACACGAAGGAAGATCCCCAAATTATGGGGGGAAACCCCCAAATTCCAAGACCCCCCCGAATTTTGAGGAGAAACGGTGACATTTCGACGAAAAAATGAGGGAAAAAGTCAAAAAACGTCAAAAAAAGGGAACGAGACCCAAAAAAGGGCAAAAAACGCGAACGAGACCCCAAAAAAAGTCAGAAAAGCCCCAAAATCCAGAGGGGGACCCCCCAACCCCCCCCCAGGCCCCTGAATTTTGGGGAGAAACGGCGACATTTTGATGAAAAACCACCAGAAAACTGCGGGAAAAACGTCTGGAAACTCGGGAAAAACCCCCAAATTTGGGAAAAAAAGCCCCAAAATTCGGGAAAAAACCCCCAAAACCTGGAAATCTCAAAAGGACCCCCCAAAATTTCCCAGAGGATCCCTCAGACCCCCCAAAACCCCCCCCGGGGAACCCCCAAAAAAACCCCCAAAAATTTTCCGAGGGGAGGAAACCGCGGGGAAAAAAAACAAAAAACAACATTTTAACGAAAAAACACAAAAAAACGCCCCAAAAAACTCGGGAAAACCCCCCAAAATCCGGGAGAAACCCCCGAAAACTCACGGGGGGGGGACCCCAAATTTATCGGGGACCCCCCCAAAATTCAACAGGGACCCCTCGAACCCCCCCCGAACCCAAGGGGAAAAGGGGGTGAAAAGTCCCCAAAACGGGGGGTTTTTGACCCCAAAACGGGGGGTTTTGCCCCCAAAATGTTGTCGGGGGTGGGAGGGGGGGTCCCCCCCCTCTACTTCCTCTTCTTTTTGGGGGGCCCGTGGCGGGGGGGGCCCCTCCCGGGGGGTCCCTTCCGCTTCCGGCCGCGGCCGCGCTCCTCCTCCTCCTCGTACTGGCTCTCGCGGTCGGCTGCAGAAAAGGGGGGGGATTTGGGGGGGATTAGGGGGGTTTTGGGGGTGAAAGGGGGGGTAAAGGGGGCTGGGAGGTGAAAGGGGGGCTGGGGGATTTTTGGGGATTTTTTGGGGATTTTTGGGGGTTTTGGGGGGCTTTTCTTGAGGGTTTTAGAGGATTTTCAGGGGATTTTGGGGAGATTTTTTTGGGTGGGTTTTTGGGATTTTTTGGAAATTTTTGGGAGATTTTTGGGGGTTTTTGGGGGTATTTTTTTGGGGGGTTTTGGGGGTTTTTTGGGGATTTTTTGAGAATTTTGGGAGATTTTTTGGGGATTTTGGAGGGATTTTTTTTGTGATTTTTGGGGATTTTGGGGAGATTTTTTTGGGTGGGTTTTTGGGGGATTTTTTTGGAATTTTTGGTGATTTTTTTGAGGTTTTTTGGGGATTTTGGGGGGATTTTGGGGAGATCTTTTTTGGGGGGGTTCGGATTTTTTGGGATTTTTTGGGAATTTTTGGGGATTTTTGGGGGGATTTTTGGGGGATTTTGGGGGGGATTTTTTGGAGATTTTTGGGGATTTTGGGGATTTTTTGGGGGGTTTTGGGGGGATTTTCTTGGGGATTTTGGGGGATTTTTTGCGAGGTTTTTGGGGGATTTTTGGGGGATCTTCTTGGGGGTTTTTGGGGGATTTTGGGGATTTTTTGGGGGGTTTTGGGGGATTTTTGGGGGATTTTTTTGGGGGGGTTTGGCAGATTTTTTAGGGTTTATGGGGGATTTTTGGGGAATTTTTGGGGGATTTTTTGAGAATTTTGGGGGATTTTTTTTGATTTTTGGGGGATTTTTTGGTATTTTTGGGGAATTGTTTTGGAGGGTTTTGGGGGGATTTTTTGGGATTTTTGGGGGATTTTTTGGGTGGGATTTTGGGGGGATTTTTGGGGAATTTTTGGGGGATTTTTTGGGGGTATTTTGGGGGTGTTTCTGGTTGGGGTTTTTTGGGTATTATGGGGTATTTTGGGGCATTTTTGGGGTATTTTGGAGTATTATGGGGTATTTCAGGATATTTAGAGGTATTTTGTGGTATTTGTGGGTATTTTGGGAGCGTTATGGGCTATTTTGTGGTATTTAGGGTTATTTTGTGGTATTTTTGGTGTATTTTGTGGTATTTCGGGGTGATTTTGGGGATCCCACCTTTCCGGGCCTCCTCCTCCAGCTCGTCCCAGTCCTTCCCGGATTCCTCCTCGCTGCCCAGGGAGTCCTTGGAATATTCTGGAACAGGTGACAACAGGTGAGAACAGGTGTGCCCAGGTGTGCCCAGGTGTGACCAGGTGAGCCCCAAACCTCCCCCAGGTGTGCCCAGGTGAGTCCCAAACCCCTCTGTAACTCCCCCATATCCCCCTGGACCCCCTCAAACCTCTCCCAGGTGTCCCCAGGTGTGTCCAGGTGAGCCCCAAACCTCCCCCAGGTGCCCCCAGGTGTGCCCAGGTGAGCCCCAAACCCCTCTGTAACTCCCCCATATCCCCCCTGGACCTTCCCAAACCTCCCCCAGGTGCCCCCAGGTGCCCCCAGGTGAGTTGAGGTGTGGCCAGGTGAGTCCCCCAGGTGCCCCCAGGTGAGGTCAGGTGTGGCCAGGTGAGTCCCCCAGGTGTGGCCAGGTGTGTCTCACCTGACTCCTCGGCCTCGGAGGAATAGTCCTCGTCGCTGTCCTCCTCCTCCTCCTCGTCCTCCTCAGAGGGGTTGAAGGTCTCGTCCTCCAGCTCCGACTCTGAGTCACCCGGCTCCGCCTCCGAGCCCTGACAGGACAGGTGACACAGGTGAGGGACAGGTGAGACAGGGGAGGGACAGGTGAGGGACAGGTGAGGGACAGATGTGATACAAGTGAGGGACAGGGGAGGGACAGGTGAGACAGGGGAGGGACAGGTGAGACAGGGGAGGGACAGGTGAGGGACAGGGGAGA